GATAGATAGATATGAAGAGGCTAAGATAGATAGATAAATAGATAGATATGAAGTAGCTAATATAAAGATAGATATGAATAGGTTAATATATATATATATATATATATATATATATATAGATAGATAGATAATATGAAGAGGCTAAGATATATATATATATATATATATATATATATATATATATATATATATAGAGAGAGAGAGAGAGAGAGAGAGAGAGGGAGAGAAAAAATGAATTTATTAAAAACAAGTAACTATTAACAACAGCAAAATGTCCTTAGGAACTAGAAGAATTTAGAAAAGGCTATTGTATTCATATTGTCAACTGAAAATTATGGCAATTACTATCACGTGTAGAAATATTGTTTTTATTGTTGTGTTGACGGATTCAACCATTTTCTTTTGATTTCTTGATACAATTGTGTACGTTGGCTTGGGAGAGTAGTAATTCTGTCAGGAAAGGTGATATTTGAAAAAGACTGCGTGTATATTAATATTTGGATAAACAAATCTATTGTAGAAAAAAGCAGGCATTTTAAAAACACACCTATGAGCACAAAAAAGACATCACAAAAAATAACTTAACTAATCCACTTATCATACATAGAAATAAATTCAACCACAATTTTGATTTTAAAATTGCTACACTCGTAAAAAAAGAAAGAAAATCCTCGAGAGTGCCGCCATTGAGTATTATCCAAATATTAATTTACGCATAGGCTTCTTCAGGAAAATAAATGGAATAAATTTTCCTTGCCTTCATTTAAAGACTCATTGTTCGTTTTCTGTATTTGTTAGTGAGTCCTATCTGAACTGTGAAAAGTGAATTGATGATAGATATGTGGATGAGAGATGTTTTCCTATTCCTGCGTTCGTGCGTGTTCTCTCCCCATATATAGATACTTATAATCAGGAATCAGCATACACATATATGTATATGTATATACACATGCACATATACATACATACCCCCACACACTCTTCCTGTGTTCGTGTGTGTGCTCGTGAGTAGTCTGTCTGTTTTGCTAGTGTATGTATGTATATTTTTGTTCCCCATGGATATATATATATATATATATATATATATATATATATATATAAACTTTAAGCATTATTTTAGTGGACACTTGTATTTTGAGTAGACACTATTAAACAGTATATATTTATTTATTTCCATCTACCAGTCTGAATATTCGAGAAATCCTATTAAAGAAAAACATGCGATCTCTTCGGCAGAACTCGAACCTGCATTCTCATTGACAGGAGAACCATCGCTAGATTCGATGTGCGAACTCACAATCATTCTCTCTCTCCTCTCTCTCTGTCTCTCTCTGTAAATCTCTCCCCCCTCTCTCTCTCTCTCTATATATATATATATATATATATATATATATATATATATTAAAATTCTTATTTAATAATTATTTTCATACATACAATATATACGAAATCATAATCTTTACATTTTTTTCTTTTCAGTTCATAATTTCCTGTCTACTGCTATGGGCCCACGAATAAATTACAAGACTTACGAATTATCGCCCTTCATTTATAATCCATATTTTATTACCTGGTTTTGCACTTTTGACGTCCTTTTCGATTATAAATTAAAATTGATATTTAATTCCCAAAGCCATGAGCTTTTGACATGTTTTTTCGAAATTTAGAATATAATTAAGTCTAAGTTTCAAACTGAATTCCCTGTCATATAAAAGACATGAGTTTCTCTATTCATCGGTTACGCAGCCTGTTCTCACTAGTCAAATACGTTGCAGCATTCACTCAATCAGTTCAACCGTCTCCTTCATTTGCTTCTCGGAATTTGGAGGGAAACCTTTTGATTAGTTCCGAGTAAAAACTAAATGCAGTTATTTTTCCCAAAATTAGAATGGTAGTAATGATGCAATTAGTAAAATTTCTACAATGTAGACTTTTATGTCAAATCGCCAAACACTGCACCATAGTTTCCTTAATAAAACAACCCTAATGATACAGTATCCTCGCACCACCCCTAGGAACCGATATATCACCCCTTGGGTGTGCGAGTACCCTTGGTTATGAACCACTGGCATAGAGGTTGATAAGTCGCCACATAAAATCAAATAACAGATGTTAAGCTTGAAACTGTGCTTACGTCATTGAATACTGTGTACTGCTGCTGTTGTAGATTGGCCATTTCGTAATACTATGCAGTTATCAGTAACGTAAGCACAGTTTCAAACTTGATATTTGTAAATATAAACAAAGTACAGATAATTATTTAAGAAGTCCGGGATCGATTCGATACTTCTTTTTAATAGGTATCACCCTATGCAAGGCAGTAATATAACAAAGACAAGAGTTTACACGTGGAAGAATTAGGAACAGAAAAATTCGGTAAGAGTAATCAGGAAGACAAGTAGATAGCGATTGACATTGCATTTAAATTTTTGCAGATTAAAGTTGTCTGGAAAGCATGGAGCCGGAAGGGAGTTCCACAAGGAAGAAGTGTGAGAAAATAAATTATTAGCATAGAATTTACATTTACATCTAGCCTGTTCAACTGTAAATTGATGAGATCTCCAGTCTAGCACTGCGCTTAAATTTAAAAAAAGTCTAGGTACCATAGCGAAGACTTAATCCTAATAATTGCCGTGAAAGTATTTATAGAAAAAGCACAGGGAATAAAACTTACTGTGGTGGGAAAATGAAGCCGAGCCACCAGATCATGACCAATAATATTGCTGACACCTTTCATTTTATCAAGGTCAACGTAAATAGCAATGGCATCGGACAAAATATGGCAGAAATAGTTTAAGCATGCACGAATGGTAGGCTTATAAACTTGTAAGATAAATTCTGTAGAGAAAAACTGTTTCGTACGAGACAATGAACCAACTTAGCAGCTGACCTGTATTTCTATTATGGATACGATATGCTTCTAAAATGATAAAAAAAAAAATCAATATTTTTCGATTTTGACAAATTCGTGCGTACAGGAAGGTTTATGGTTTATCGTTAAAATTTAGTAAAAAACTATTTAATTTTAGTGCCGACAACGTTAACTTTAAACAACAGCGATATCAACATGAACGAAAAGCGTTGTAAAAGGATCAGTTGTAAAAGAATAATGTTAATAATACTATAAAAATAAAATAGGGAAACAAATGGTCGCAACAAAGAAGAAAAGGATAAAATGGAAGTGCGCATGGCAGGCAGTCATATAATTTTTGCTGATTAAAATAATCACAAATCCGTCGAGAGAAAACAAACAGATTAAACCCCTTAGGAATATTTCCGAGTCTGTTCTTTCCTTCTCTGTAATAAAATATTCTGTTGTTATGGCAATAGAAATCATTACTCGACGCCAATTGGTGAACATTTCTCGTATCCCCATGACAACGGAATAACCCATTAATAAATAGGGGAGATTAGGTTCTTTAATGTTCATATTTTACTTTAAAAATGAAAAATACCCAACGATAACTAACACGAAATAAAAGAAATATATCGTTACATATTCCATTACGTGTGTTTAATTATATTTTTTTTTATGTTTTGTTTTTAATGATTTAAAAAGCGAAAATATTTCTTATATTCATAAAAGGCGTAGAAAAATAAAATAAAATCAACAAAAAAATCAATAAAAGATAATTAATAATAAAAAATAAAAGTAAAAAATACATATTTTCCCCTGATGTTAGTAATAAAGCAACCGGGAATTTTATTACGCCACTTGGCTTCGTCAAACCCCAATTAGGTGGCGCTGTTTAAGTTCTACAAAAGAAATTCCTTCCTCACTTTCCTTCTCCTTTTTGCTCCAAGATGTAGTAGGATGTAAACGAGGACGCCCCCGCTGGGTCACGTTCTACTTCCCAACGCATATCGTTCGCACGTGTCTTCCAAAACCTAGAAAATAAATCAACCTTTTCTTTGTTCGTTCCAACACAGCGCAAGGCTGACTTAATTATAACTACCGATGACATAAGTACAGCATTTACTTTGGTGATCCAACTCAGGGCGGGTCTAACTTGAACTCGACCATTATAACTACCGATGAGTAAGTTCCATCTCAGCGCAAGGCTGACTTGAGTTCGGTCATTATAACGATGCTTATCTTTACTTACCCTAACCTCTGGACCAGTTAAGCAAACAGACATACGCAAGAGACATTGAGAACTTTGATTCCTTCGGGTTCTATTTTAAAAAAATAACAGAATAAACAGTCAGCAATAAAATACAGGAAGACCGAGATAAACCACGCACCTTTCCCTTCGCTTTAAATGTCCTAATATTGACTTATTGAATAATTTATAGTATTAATTAGATTTTCAACATTGCTTATTTACCTTTATACATTATGTAGCTCAGACGAGACACTAAGTTCAATTACGGTGTCCTTCTTTAGCACTTTGAGGAGCTAATGCTAACCTGGGCCAAGCGGATGGTTGCTGAAAGACCTTATGTCTAACAACAGAATCTGCACCATGCCACACAAGCAGGAGAACACAGTCATGCCTGTCAAACAATTTTTGCGACCACATCACCCCTTACATCTGGCCACCTAACTCCCCATACTGCAACCTCCTTGATTATTATATGTGGGACGCAGTTGAGCGAGAGACCAACTAAACTTCTTATAACATCAAAGATGAACTGAAGGCAATGATTATGACAGTATTCACCAACGTAAATAAAGAGTGCCCAGAAGAGTTGCAGGAGATTCCGAAGTCGTCTGGGTTTGGTTGAAGCCAATGGCAATTTTATTGAATAAATTTACTCTTTAGTATTTCGAAATATTTTTGTGTAATTTTGGTAAGTATATCTGTTAAAACGAGATGTAAATGTTATTTTCATTTTTGCGTAATTTAAACGACAATTAATCCATCTCACTCTGCAGATATTTTTATATATATTAAGAAACAGTATTGAAGAAATTGTAAGACAAAACTTTTTCCATTTTGCCTTATATATATATATATATATATATATATATATATAACTGTCATGTAAGATCATGTATGGAGATACATGAATTGTCTGTTAATGATTTTAATAAAGAAGGTTTTTTTTCATGTTTCTTGGTACTGGAAATAACAACACAAAAATAGATAATAATGGCGCAGGCATCACCGAATTTTTCCGATTCCTTGTTGCACGAGACGAAAATGGTAAATAAATTCTTGTTACATTATCTTTCCATTCAATTGAACCGAATTACGACGCCAGAATTATAAAACTGACTTGTTCATTTGTCGGCAAATCGAAATTGTCAATATTTCTTCTTCTTTTTCTTTTTCTTCTTCTTCTTCTTCTTCTTCTTCTTCTTCTTTTTCAATATTATTTTTACCTTTTCACATGGTTATTATTGCCTTTTCTTCTCGTTCTTTCTTTCTTCTTCATATTTTTTATTTTATTGTATTTCTTTTCCCCTTTCCTTCATGTTTCACTTCATTTTTTATTTTTCGTTTTCTTTCCTGCTTCTGCGTCTTTTTTCCATTTATTTCCATTTTTCTTTTTCTTCTTTTTTTCCTCTTCCTTTTTTCTTTTTCTTCTTTTCTCTCTTTCTTTATTTTCTCAAGTCTTTCTTTTTTATTGCTCAATTTTATTCTTTTTCTTTTTCTTTTTTGCTTATTCTTCTATTCTTTTCAATTATTCACATTTTTTCTTTTTTTTCTTTTGTCTCTTCTTTTACTCTCTCCCTTTCTTCTTTTCGTTTTACTATCTTTTTTCTCTCTTTCCTTCTTTTCCCTTTTGTTTTTCATCTTTCTCCTCCGCTTTTCTTTTTCTACTCTTCTTTTCCGTCTTCTTTTCCTTGTTCTCCTCTCTTTTACTTCCTCCTTCTCTATCTTCTTTAACTTTTGGTTTTTCTACCCTCTTATGCATCACGAACTTTTATGTTATTTTATCTACACATCTTCACTGTCCTTTCAAATATTTGCTTCACGCCATTTAATCTCTCAGAAATACATGACTACATATATCGGTAGAGGCTCAAAATCATTTAATATACGTAAATAACAATTTTTGATCATAAAAGACAATTCATCAGACTAAACTTCCTGGGAGACAAAACGAATTACTTAACAGTTGTATTCATTTTGTCATTTGATTACCAACTTCGTCTTTATGCGTCATGTCCCTTCAGAAAGGTGAGAAATCATGGCTCTCCGGAGATTTTTATCCTTGGAGTCTCTTATTAGCGTTTATGTCTTTGCCAAGCTCATCAATTGGGGGTCGCTGATAGAAGTATCACTCTTGCCTTTTGAAGATCAAGTTGCCCAAAGAACATACTCTTTACAAGGCGTATCGAAGACTGTTATGCTTGCTGGACTAATTCTTGTCTGCTTGCGACGCACTGATATCTTTATTAGAAAAACAAGACTCTATTGAGCAAGATTTCATCATCGGGGACTGAGAATTGCCTGCTCCAATATTCCTTTCCTTACCTTTTATCAGAAATGGATGGGAAGGGCGTCGCTATGACGAGTAAGGGACACTTTAAGTCAACTAAGTACGAGAAACCTACAAACTGACAACAAGAATAATCACTGACATGAATTATATTGAGATTTCACTCACCGATAATAAATCCTGGTAGGATCTCCAGCTCCGCTGGGATAGTCCCAATGTAGAAGTTGAACAAATCAGGCTTTTTCTCTTACTGACAACTGTACATTCTTTTCAACCGATATCAGGTATATCTTTTTTATATCTTTCATAACTGAACACACCTCATCTTATTTTCCGCCCTCTCTTGCTTAGAAACAGTTTCTTCTTCTTAAAATTGATGATTCGTTCTTCTCTTCTTTCCTTTTCTCTCTTGTCTAAAAGGTTTCTCTGGTTTTCAGTCTGCCATCAACACAGTGTCAACCTGCTTATCTTTTAATTGTTAAAACTGTGCCCACTGAGGAGTTTTCGGGAACCCGGGGAGAGTTGACAGGTTTGCTTTCTTCAATTGCTCTCCGTTATTGACTCACCTCCTTTTTTTATGAGATTCGGGTTCTATGTCGCCGTTCTTCTCTGTAGATTTATTTCCGTGTTTCTTTTCCAAATCTTTATTTCGTTTTTTTCTCAGTTACTGTCTTTTCATCATCCACATTCCATATCTAGACCGGGATATCTTCCATTTCTCAATGCTGCCAGAGTTAATAGCACCAACAACTAGAACATTATCTCGTTGTCTATTAATGAGCGTGCACTCTTAGCCTCGTTTTCAATATACTTTTGCCCGCAGACATTTTGATCTTATTTTTAAGCTAACAGAGTAACCATTCATTTCACGGCTTACTTTAAAGTAAGATGTGAAAGGAAAGCAGAATGTAACATTTCTAATTTGTACAAATATAACATACAAAAAACAGAAAAAAATGATCGCTTTCAGATATATTTTCAAGGTCATTATGACCCTGCCGAAAATTATTATTGTCTTGTCTGTTAAGTTTTGGGAATTCACTCACATCACAACAGCAGAAATTAACCGCGTGTTCACGGAGATAAAGGCATACTTGACAGGAAATAAAACGTACGGAAATAACAGGGAAAGCATGGTAAATTGTATGTTAATCTCATAAAATTTATTTATATTTTTGTGAGTATTGGTGTTTGTATTTTTTAGGTTACGATTATTTTATGTGATAAAAGGGAGAATTTACTCCATAGTATTACAAGCCATATCAGAGACACGTTGTTGGTCGTAGCAAGTTCCGTGCTGAAGAGTTTGAATTTAACGTCTTTTGGCCGGATGTCCGTATTTCCGACAGGAGCAGTTTTTGTTATTTTTATCATTTTTAATTTTTATTTAATTTATTTCATACAAGTTATGTATGCTATTGTTTTATTTTATTTTATTCATAATTTTCATTCTTATTATTATTTTATATTTTATTTTAATTATTTATAATACTACTACTACTACTACTACTAATAATAATAATAATAATATTCCTACAAGATACAGTGATTATACTAAATAATATTAATACTAATAAATATTGTCATCTTTGTGACTAGTGGGAGAATCTATAGAAAATTTATAACGTGTCTCTGAAATATAGAAATAAAATAAAAACGGACATATATTTTAAAACTGAAAAAATTCCGCATCAACTCAGCATTTTACGATAAAAAGCAGCAACAATAAGATTGGGAATAAAACTGGTTATAAATAATAGTAATAATGAAAAATGCATTGACCCATTGCAGGGATAGAAAGCCACAACTTAATTAGAAATTGTTATCTACTTGAAGGAAGAATTTGTTACTTGAAGGAGGAATTTACTCGATCGCCTGTAACAAAAATACATAGAAGAAACTCCAAGGAATCTAAAAAAGATTATATGAACACAAAGGAGACATTTTATAAAACAGTATGTCAAACGTGTTGCTTTACCACCATAACAAGACTGACCACACTTTTGATATAAAAAACGCTATTCTGATCAAAGGAGAAACAATTCACGACGACAAAAATAACCAGAGAGTTGCAATGTCATCTACCGTAAATGAGTGCCCAGGCCCTTACGATATTTCACCTTTGCTGGCAGAACTTCTACTTCTTCTTAAAGTGTGGGATATCTAACAAGAAAAGCGATGTAAAGTAAAAGAATATAAATAAAATCATCTAGATTAAAAAAATAAATTTAAATTTAAAATTCCAAGCACCCCTCGTTCGCGTGACGAAACGCGTCACAAAATGTTTTTTTCCATTTTGTCATATATATATATATATATATATATATATATATATATATATTATTACTTGATAATTAGTAGGGATAATTCCAAGGAGGATACAAATTCAAAAAGAGCTCAATATAAGAACAGCAAATATAATGAATAGAGAATCCTTAAAAATCCATTCAGGTGATATTTTATTTCGTGGACTCAGAAGTCCTGTTCTTCAGACCAAAGTTTAAAAAATTAATGGAGTTCAGTTTATTCAGACACAGAAAAAGGAAAAAGAAGAAAAGAAAAAAGGAAACGAGAGAAAAAAGACAAACGGGAACGAGATTTAATCTTAAAAGTGGAAAGAAAAAATGGAGAAAGACTGAGATTTCAATATAAGGTTTGTGAGACAGACATGGGGAGGGAAAAGGGTAAGGGAGCAAGAGAGGGAAAGAATGGAGTTTAGCCAGTCGCCATGGTGACCAGAATATATTTTATTCCCCGGACTTGACAAGTTAAAAATAGGGTGGGGGAAGGGAGTGATCATATTTCAAAAAGATATATTGAAATTGTCTTTTAAGCAGCGAAACCATCGCCATCTCGTTATAACAGTCACAAGTTACAAACTAATAATAATAATAATAATATTAAAATATTTGACACTAATATAAAGAAATAACATCAAATTAAAAAAATGATTTTTAAGGATTCTGTATGTATATATATATATATATATATATATATATATATATATATATATTGCTGTTAGACCATATGATCTAACGCCAAAATTGTCCAAATCTTGTAACATTATGCAGTTGTTTGATGAATCTTAGAAATGATTAAAGATATCTTACAGGAAAACAGTGGGTCTAACACAAAACAATTTTAACTTGTTCTCTTTCTGGCTGAATGACTCAAAGGGTTTTTAAGTGATTCTTACAACAAATGGTGGCAAGATGGCTAAACGTTTTATCTGAAAACCAGGAAATAGAAATTCAATTAGATTAGTGTTTTTTTTTTTTTTTTCAGATATTAAACATTTTTATGATAGGGACAATTATTCTGTTACACAATTTGAACAATTTTGCTGTTACACCTGGCATAATATATATATATATATATATATATATATATATAAATATATATATATATATAGTTGGATTGATGTGAGTTTGTGACCCCGGGTTTCACGCTATTTGCGATCGATCGTCAGACAAACGGATTAATTTTTAAATGGTTGCGTATATAGGTGTTTTTATGGTAGTGGGAGGAAAAATTGTCGTCGGAACGCCACTCAAAATCAGTAAAAACATAGAAAATATGAACACCAAACTAAGGGAAAAATTAGGACTTAATCAATGGAAAAATACCAAAGCTGTCACCGACTGGTTTACAGCAATAAAAAAACCCCAAAAAAACAAACAAAAAAAAACAAAAAACAAAACAAAACCAAAGCTACTTTCATCCAATTCGACATAGTGAATTTCTACCCATCCAACACGGAAAACACATTAAATGACGCTATAAAACGTACAAAAAAATTACAAAAAATTATTAAAATAATCAAGCACTGCCGTAAATCTTTGTTTCTTCACAATAATGAACCATTGGTAAAAAACAAAACCAATGGGTAGCTACGATGGAGTAACCCTGTGAATTAGTAGGCATGTTCATCCTCTCATATCTAGCTAGGATCCGAGAGAAAAATGAGACGGGAGTATATAGAGATGACGGACTTATCCTGGTAAGAGAACCCAATGGCCCCAAATTAGACAGATTTAGGAAATATAGTAAATGCCTTAAAAACAATTGGAGTTAAAATAGAAATATGCAGGTACAAGAACAGTAAACTTCTTAGACATCACTCTCAAAAACACATACGAACCGTACAAAAAAGATAATGACACCCCAACTTACATACACACATTCTCCAACCATCCACCTTCAATCATCAAGCAAATACTTATATCAATAAGTCGCAGGCTATCTGAAAACACATCAAATATAGACATTTTCAATAACAAGAAAACGGCATATGACGACGCACGAAAAAAGTGGATACACACAACAACTACAACTACAACACCTACAATACACACCTCCACAACCGAAACACAAAAACAGAAAAAGAAACATTATCTGGTTTTAACCCACCATATAACAAAATCGTCAACATAAACATAGGAAGGACATTCCTAAACTTAATAGCAAAAATATTCAACAAAAATAGCGTAAAAATTAGTTACAGCTGCACAAAAAATATAACACAAATTATAAAAAGCCACAAAAAAGTAACAACCTGCAATAACGAAACCAAGGAACCTCAATGCAACTTCCGAAATAAAACATGTCAATTCCAAGGAAACTGCCAACAAACGAATATAAGGTAAGTGCAAACAACTGCACAATGTACTATATCGGTGACACTGAGGGATCATTCAAGAAAAGAAAACACGATCTTTTATTCTCCGACAGAAAATACTCAAACCGTACTACACTATCCACATACACATGGCATCTAAAAGACAGAAATATCACACTAAGAATAATCTAGGAACATTTGAAAAACACACCTACCTACAACAATATTACAAAGAAATGCCTACTTTGCCTACACGAAAAGCTAGCAATAATTTCTCATACTCAACAAAAGAAATTACTAAACATAAGATCGGAAATAATTTCTAAATGTAGACATGACATACCTATTATCATAATTTATACCAAACGGATAAAAGAAGCCCCCCCCCAAAATAACCAACACTGCTACATAAACAACCATTGACCATATGAAGACGAAAATACAAACCACTGACACCATAAGACTATCAATTATTTTTTTTATTCAAACTACCATCATAATAATTATAATTATTGTTATTGCCATTCAACACCATTACTACAATTACTTCTACCATTTTACTATAACTATTTGCTGCTACAATTCTTATTATCATTACCCACTCCCCCACCATAACTACCACATCACAATTACCATTGCCGTATCAGTCCACAATTATACTTCCTTCTCCATCCCCAACAAAATTAATACCACCGCATAAATACTAATAAGTATTATAAATTGGAGTTTCTACCATTTACATAAGCGCAATCACCAAAAACCAGCAAATAACCGTTTTTAAAATAATAGCAAAACGCATTAAATAAATTAAAAATTGAAAATAATAACAATTTTACCTACACAGACACCATCTTAAGATAAAAAGACAGACGGATAGAAGGTGTGTGAACGCGTGTGCATACGTATATATGTGTGTGTACGAGAAAACATTATTCAGCGAACAAAATAGACAAACGGTCTGTGCGTTGACACTGCGACTAACGAAAGAAGTTCGTTACACAATCCAACATTGAATACAGCGACCAATTGCGTACGTATGCATGCAACGACACATGGATGTTTATATACACCCAGTTCCACACTATTGATATATGTTTATGTTTGTGTGAGCTGTAATGCGTGAACGTGAGTGTATGTATGTCTTCGTAAGTATGAATGGCGTTTCGATGACAATTC